CCGCGCAGACAAACACGGTGAATTGTTTAGTTCGCTCTGCAGGCTTGGCTGCGCTCTGTGTGTGTCCAACGAGTGACTGAGCGCGCCCCGGGCTCCCCACTCCCGGCCAGTCATTCAGCGCCGGATTTAATGAGACGCAACCCTTTGGTGGAGTACGCAGAGTTCGTTCCGTTGTGCTAATATACGGAAAAAACAGCACTCTTCTTTTGAGACATTGCCTTTTCTCTGAGGTACTAAACGCTGGTGAATTTGTTTCTTTGCCCGACGGGCTTAAAGAAACAGCGCTGGCTTTAGTCTTTTTCTTGGTGTTGATGAAATGCTCGTCTTTATTATAGTGTATGCTAGATGAAAACAGCGCCATCACGTCCTATTTTCTTCCGTTTGGCGCTCGGGACGGAGGTGTAATGGTGGGGGCCATTTTTTCGCCTCGTGAGCACCACGAGTCGCCGGGCCCGCCTCGGCGCTGAAAACGCTCACCGTAGCGTTCACTAATTGATGACGTCTTTGAGGGTTTGTGCTTCTCTCTGGAGCGATGATGGCGCCGCCGGAGCGGATGGTCTGCAGGCGCCGCGCCTAACGCAGTCGTCAGCCCCGGGGCGGGATAAACATCCAGCGTCAGCCGTCAACCCCAGCAACACCGGGCGCAGGGGTATGTGTGATTATGTCCCGGTCTTGGATCTATACTTCATAGCGGATTAAAGTAGTAAATCGACTAGCCCGCTCCGCGTGTGTTCGACTAGTCCGCCCCGTTCCGGCTGTCTGCAGAGCCGTTCGGTGTCGTTTCTTTGGCACGCCATTATTTTCCCGACGTCGCAGCGTCTGGTCGCTCCTTCCTCCAGCTCCCGTCGTGGCCTCTCTGGGTTCAGGTTGTTCCCAAGTCCGTTATCCTTATGTAGTCTCCTCCCGGCGTCTATCCCTTATCCTCTGGGTGACTCGGCGTTCAGGTGTGCCCCATGACCCTGCGAACACTTGGCTAATGGCCGCCAGTCGCTGGGACCGTGGCCGGTCGGCCGAGCGGGTGAGTCTCTCCCTCGGACCGGAGCAGCGCTCACTGCAGGCACGCGCTCCATCTGCCGCTCCGGCCCCGCTCGAACGTGGCTGGGAGGCGGCTGGGAGCTCGGTCTGTGGCGCCGGTTAGACGGCACGTGCACTGTGGATCTGTCCCGGCACGGCGCGGCGGCAGAGGCGCCCGCCGCCCGGACCATGCATAATTTGGCCGTCCGAGATGTGTACGTGCAGCCGTGTCCCTCTCTGCTGGCACTGGCCGGAGTAAGTCTGACATGTGAGCGCGCTCTATGGGCCGGGACACGCGATGGGCCGCCGTCCGCTGCCCTGCCGCGTGATTCTTGCTCTTGGTGATGGTGTTGGTGTTGGTTTGAGTTTGCTGGTAATACAGACTTTTGTCGACGTAGTGATGGCATGGGGGCTTCTTCTGGTCTCGAGTGATACTGTTGGAATGGATGAAATGATTATGGTTATTGCATTTGGAGTATCATTAATCATGTTGGTGTTTTATAGTGCTTACTTCATTTGACACATATTTTATCGTACCTGTATAAGCTATCTCGACTATCTTTAAGAGTTCTGTTATCGAGAGTTGGAAGTAGCGTACTGTGTTGGAGATAGCGTAGGTGACAGGCAGGCGAGGCTGAAAACATACCGAGGTTATCCAGCGGCCAGCAGAGCCATACCGATCCAGCTGTCATGATGGTCAGGTGACCCTTGGGACATTTAATGCCCGAAAATGGCCATAAAACATGCATCGCACAGCCCTAGTAAAATTGGATGTATGTGCTGACTCCTGGTGACCTGACCTGTGACCTGACCTGGTATTAGGGGAGAGTGGGGAAAGATGCCCAGGGTTTTACTATGTCATATATTATTCGAAAATGACGATCGGAAAGCAAAAACTTGGAGTTTCAACGGAAGTCGACATCATTTTTCTCCAAAAACATAACACTTTCGTGCCTGAAATATGATAACTTTTTTTGCTATAAAGCATTTTCCTGAAGAAGTCAAAGGGGGCATCTTACCCCACAGGGTGGGGAAGACGCCCCCTGGCGTTGGGGAAGATGCCCCCTGCACTATAAGTGACATAAATGGGCACGTGAATCGCCTGAACGAATCAGTAGTCCCTTCGAGCCTGCAGTAGACACCAAACGTCATCGTAAGGGCCCTCAAAAGTGGTCGTAAGGTGCTTCAGAGGTCATCGTTAGGGTCATCATAGTCCAGCGCGGCCAAACAAGCTTCCGTGGTGGCGTTCGGAGACCACTGTGGGGCCCTTATACATAGGTCTTCATGATGCTTGAGGGCCCTCGAGCCCATCGTGGGGACCTCAGATGCCAGCGCGGCCCGTGGAGCCAACGTGGGAGCCCTCAAAGGATATCGTGAGGGGCCCTGGAGCCAATAATGGGGCCCACCGAGGCCGTCGTGAGGGCTCTCAGAGTCGGATGCCGCCCAAAAAGTCGCTGTGTGGGCCGAGAGACCGGCATGGGGAGCACCCGACCGTACTGAACTCTCAATAGTCCCAGATCGGCTTTTGTCTCTCATCACAAGCATGTAATAAATGATTTGACGGGCTGCTTGAAGGACAGCCTACGGATTTAGGGGGGCGTCTTTCCCCATCAGGACAGGGGGCATCTTACCCCAAGGTACCGAAGTAACATTAAATCAGTACAATATGTTAGCCATAAAACTACACCCTGAAACAAACTGTTTGGGACACAGTACACGCATGTTAATGTATCACGACTATATCAAGGGACGCAAAAATTATCTACCTTCTTTGATATTTACAATGTTTTAACACCAAAATATTTTTCGAAAGCAGCAAATAAAAAACATGCATTCACCAGCCAGCCGTTGCCCAACTGAGCTTCGCGAATTTTTGTGCAGTTAACAAGGCAGGCTTCCGCTTTACGCTAAGAACATTAATTTCCGGGTTCAATTCTTTGTTTCGCCGCTAGAGGGGGTGGGGCGTCTTTCCCACCCTGGGCATCTTACCCCACTCTCCCCTATCAGTGGCCTCTGATGGCAACATATGTACGGCTCTCGCGAGATTAAGCGGTAGGTTTTGCACTTTTACATTTCCGGTTATATCTCAGAAACTAATCGATCTACGAAGCCATTTTACACGATCATGGCTGGCTTGTTACCCAACAAGTCGATCGCATCTTCAACACTTAAAAGCTTAAGACGACGAAGATATAGCCTGAAGTACACTTAATTTTTTAGGTGCAAAACCTATTGTTAAAACCCGCGAGACCTGTACTCTGACGTCCTTTTGCTGATTTTCGATGAAATGTGTTTTACTCGATGTTATAGCGCATTTCCTAGAAGACCCGTGAACGGCAAAACATTTTATCTTTGACCTGACCTGTGACGTTATCGGTGACCCCGAGATGGTCAATGAAACTTGGATTTCCCTCGACAAATTTGACAGGGCTTTCGAATTCATTTTGAATTTTACGGATCCGTCCAGTAGTTTCGGAGATACGAGGGGGGGGGGAAATACCCCCCCCCCCCACCAGGTCGCGTTATAAACAGACCCCACCAGGGTGGGGGTTAAAGCATGCAACCAATGAAGAATTAAACTCGTCAACTCACGCTCCCCCCGGAAGTCCGTGCTCATCCCACTCCTGAAGGAGCGGCCTGAAAGTCCTGTCAGGCCGGTGTTTGCCCTGGTCTACTTTGTTGTCGGTCGGTGTTGCGGTGTTCTGTTACCCATGTGTTACGTGATAGGAACCGCTCGGCGAACCCTGTCACAGGCCCTGGGGACCGAAATGAAGTGGTCCGCCTTTTAACCCGTCACCTGGTATCGTCTCAGTAGCGACTTGGATCCCGCTTTTTCTGCGGCACTGTAAAATGAAACAACATGAAACCCTCTGAAGATGGCGTGCGCTTATTTCAAAGTCTCTGTGAAGCAGAGAAGATCCTGATATGTTACACGTGTCAACAGTTCTAACAGCTTAAGTACAGCGTGGGGCTTGTTTGAGCTAAGTAGGCATCTGTTAGGAAAGCAGGTGTTCGCGACAAGGTATGAAACTTGGCCCAACTAGACGGAAAAGTGGAAAGTTCAGTCTCTGTTTTAGTGCACGCAGTAGTTGGAGGAGTTTGAATGCACTCTGAAATATAGATGTGAACTGCCGTCGGCTACTAGCTCACATTAGTCGCGAGAGCCTGTTCGCTGAGTGTGGCGAGCGTCTACTGCGGTGAAAAACCACGCCCGGTGCTTAGAGAGGTCCGAAATTGGGGTCACAGAGGGGATGGCGCTACACCGGGAGCTGTGGGCTGGGACGACGCTCAGTGGCGCCTCCACTCTCGTTTCGGGCGACGGCCGCCGCGCCGGAGGGACAAGACGTGGCACCTGCGCCTGCAGTCGCCAGGCCCTGGGGGACCGGCCTGGCCGGGAGGTCGGGCTGGTGCCGCCGCTGCCGCGGTCACCAGTGCTCCCAGTCCTCGGCCAGCTGGCCCGAGGGCAATCATGGGATTGGGCGCGGTCGGTCGCCACCGGCTGTACGACTCTGTAATCATCCGCCATATTCTAATGTGGGCTTTGCGTGCGGCGCCCTCCCCCCCCCCCCTCCCGCGAAGGCAGGTCGGTCAGTGTTGGGGAGAGGGGGGCGGCGGTACAGATGGTCCCCACCGTATCAGTCTCCGATCGCCAAGTGTTGGGCCCACCTGCACCTATTAGGTAATAATGCCGGTCACCGGACGGTGGGCTGGTCCAGTCGCGCTGCGGGGCTGTCGAACGGCCTGGCCGGCTTACAGTGGACGGGTCCGGCGGGCTGAAATCTTTGAATTATCCATAATAATGTACAAAAATGTACGGGCATGAATAAATGTAAAATACGTGACCCTGATTTCCGAAATAATTACCTTGACATATGTAAATTCAAGGCTCCTTGTCTAAATGCAAATGATTGCATTGAAATGTGGTGTTCCATGCTCCATTCAGTGTGTTGGACTGGCGAGCTCTGACCTTGTCTCTCTTGTTTCAGGTGAGTCCAGCTTACCTGCTGCTAGATCAGGTAGGATGATCACGGTCGGAATCCAGCTGCCATCAGGTCAGGTAGGATGATCACAGTCGGAATTCAGCGGCTGTCAGGTTAGGTAGGATGATCAGTGATCACAGTCGGAAATCGGAATCCAGCCGCTATCAGGTCAGGTAGGATGATCACAGTCGGAATACAGCTGCCATCAGGTCAGGTAGGGTGGTGAGAGTCGGAATCGACTGCGTCCAGTCAAGTAGGAGTGGAAGTTCTGCCTGTTTGCTGACGGGTAGGGTGGCCAGAGTTGTAAGCGCGGCCTCTGTGCCAGTGGCGAAGCTCTGCCATTGGACGGACCATAGATCAGTGTCTCTGGTCGACGAGCAGTGATCATCTATACATCCCATTATCGTTTATGGACAGTTTGTTTATTTCTTTATTAAAGATGTCCCATCTATTTGTGTGAGACCGCCTATTGGGCAACCTGCAGGGACCGTTGTGGAGCCGTTGTGAAACGGATATGGAGCCGGTCGATGGATCCGGTATGGAACCGCATCGGACTTAGACCATTAGCGGTTGCAGAAACGCTGCAGGGAGTGGTTCCCCAAATAGCTCCTCCAATTGAAGTGCTGGTATTTCGTCTCCGTATGCGTTGCTGGGTTGTAAAAACTTTTATTTTCTTGTAAGACATTGTTAATTTTTTCTATATGAGAAAAATGACAACGGATCCTCCAGCTGCTCAAATGTCTAAAAACCACGAATATCTTACACTAAAAAGTAAGCGATGTGCTAGTATTGAAAGGGAAAACAGTCATTGCGTCAAAACTTTGCCGACGTGCGGGCTTGATTCCGGCAGGTGGTGATCGGTCTTAGGGAGTTCGGGTCGATTGCTGTCACCCAGTTGACTGAGTCGGCGGTGGTCGGGGCTACGGGGTCGCCGGCGACGGGGACAGTCGGGGCCGGGGGCGTGCCGTCCCGACTCACCGGCTGTCATCAGCGGCACGGAACGCTCCGATCGGCCGCGGTGGCACGCCACCATCACCGTCTTACTGGCTTCCTGCAGCGTCCTGGCGTGACGCTGCAGTCCTAGTGCCGTCCCACTGCCGTCCTACTGCCGTCCTCTGCTGTCCCACTGCCGCCCTAGTGCCGTCCCACTGCCGTCCTACTACCGTCCCACTGCCGCCCTAGTGCCGTCCCACTGCCGTCCCACTGCAGTCCTGTGCCGTCCCACTGCCGTCCTGTGCCGTCCCACTGCCGTCCTAGTGCCGTCCCACTGCCGTCCTACTACCGTCCTACTGCCATCCCACTGCCGTCCTACTACCGTCCCACTGCCGTCCTAGTGCCGTCCCACTGCCGTCCTAGTGTCGTCCCACTTCCGCACCGGAACCTTTCTACCGATAAGTACAATTACACGCCCCATATAAACAACTATTGCTCGTACTTATGCAACAACATCTTGTGCTGACTGCTGTACTTACAGTGGCTGGGTAGCGTCGTCGATGAGACGTCGATCAGACGCTAAACGGCTTTCAGTTTTTTTTTCTCCTGCTCAGACCCGGCCATATCATTTGCCTTCTATCATTATGACTTTTTTCGATCAGATAGCCGTCCTTTTCACTGTCGGCGGTCCTTGCAGTATTGTAGTCTTCTGTTGTTGCCTCTAGCGTCAGCTATTTTCCGCTGCCATGGGGAATCTTCCGTCGCTCCTTTCCGTCCATCGTCCTGCGGTCTTCCACGTTCCCCTACCGCCCACCTTTTTAGTTGCGCTCGTTGCCTACAGTCATTCTCCGTGTTCCACCATCTCTCCCGGCCGTGTCGGACGGTGTTCCGTGCTGCCTGCCGTCGGTCCCTGGCGATCTCGGCGCTCCGCGGACGCCGCGGCCATCCGCCGCCGGTCTATCGCGCTCCGTTAGCCTCCGTCCTCCGCGCCTGTCGTCAGCCTGGGTCGTTAGTCGTCGGCGCGGCGTAATGAGCGCAGTCCAGTCGAGCGGCCGTCGGCGACGACCTGACGACCGGCCACTGACGGTCCCTGGCCGCCCGCCGTCCACCCACGCGCCACATGAACACGCTGTCGCTCCGTTTCATATTCCTGGCTCGTCCCCGTTCTCGTTTCGTGTGGTCTGCCATGTCATCACGCTATGTCATGACATGACATGTCATCGTCATGCCGCTGCTGCCTCCGGCGCCCGTGTTCTGTCTCCGTTTCTGCGCCGTGTCGTGCTGGCCGGCCCCCGGGGCCCTCCGGACGACCGAGCTAGGTAACGCTGTTAGCCGGCGCCGCCGTCTCGCGGCTCGATTACGGACCGGCTATGGTCCCGCTGCTCATACGATATGCAATTGTTTTTCAAATGGGCGTATCTCAGGAGGAATGGAGCGCGCCTCGGCCGGTGGCAGCGCGCGCTGGCTGCACCGCCGCTCCGCCAGGTCAAAATCGCCCGACTTCAATAAGGCAGCGCGCACTCGCGGGCCAAATCCCTCCGCGGGCCGGCCGCCGCGCGCATATCATGTTTAGAGCAAGTGAAGACGGATGGCTGATGTCGAGCCGAGCCCCGGCTGAACTATGGGTCCGCGCGGGACTGGTTTTCTGTACTTTATGTATGGTGTTGATCCAATCTGCACGTTTGCCAGAACGCAATCTCCATTCTTTCAATCTGTTGGCGCCCGGGGGAGCGGGATGGAATGAGAAGCCGGCCTGGTGCAGAGCTGTACTCGGCGCGCGCTGGCCCACCTGGACGAGCGCCGAGCGGCGGGCCCAGCTTTTGATTACAGCGCACCGGAGCGCCGCCGGCACCGCACAGAAAACAGCCCAGGTGCGGCGGGCGTTTTTACTCGCGCAGTTGCAAGTCGCTGTGTTTTTGTCTGCGAGCGACACGGAGAAGCTCCGGGGAGTGTTTAAACATGGCGACCCGCCGGCCTGCCGGCTGTTGGATGATGTGTGGTGTCTCCGAAGCGGGCTCTTTTGTGACAGTAGGGCGGGGGACTGTGTCTTTACGCTGCCAGTGAGCGCACGGTCTGCGCAGCCGCTCTCACTGTCGGCAGCCCGCTTCCACGTCTCCCAGCTGTTTCGCACGGAATTTGATTTCCATGGATCTCCCTAGCTCCGTCTTTTGCTTTTCCCTGGCCCGCTGCTCTCGCTGCTACTGTGGGCTGCCCGTGCTGTCCCGGGCCGCTCTCGGCTGCCTCGGGCGGCTGGCTGTGGCCGGCGCGCCGCGGTCACGGCCGGCGGCGGTATCGGCGCCATGGGAGCGCGGCCGGCGCCGTTTGCTCGGTAACAGGCGGCACTGTTAGTGCGACCATTACCGGGCCGGCCACAGCGGCCGCCATTTCTCCCGCCCCGGATAGTTCCAGGTAGCGAATGTACGCCTCGTTAAGGCTCGCGTTTAAACTTCGCCGCCTCGCTCCGAAGAATAAAGTGAGTAGTTTCTGCCGATGCCTGCGCCGGTGAGTGCGTCCAATTGGATCCATGTGGGCATGGAATTGTCGACGCGATACGTACGAGGCCGGCAGTGGAGTCGGCGAGCAGCGCGCCTGCACGGCAAGCGCAGAATTGGGTATGGCTCAGAGCTAAGTAAAGAAGGAGCCTGTTATTTAATTAGCTATATACTGTGTGGGTGCTAGTCGTGTGAAGGCGTTTCACACCAAATGAAAAATAGCCCAAATGTTGATAGGGTAGGAGGAAAATAAGTTTAACTTCATTTCTAAGAAACGTCTCTATCCGTCGAAAATAAATGTGCTGGAAAATAATAACCAACGACAGATGGAGACAATAAGTTTGTTACTGAAGTCATTTCCCGTAGTTCATGTCATCAAGCCGAACGTGGTTCTGAATTTCAACTAGGAAGCTCATTTAGTATCTGACACGGCCTGGATATGTCTTCTCGGTAGCTCACCTCACGTGGTTACAGGCCCGCCGGATATGGTTCACGTTCGCACCCCCTGTGTCGTGTCCGTTTCATCTGTCGCGGTGAATATTAGGACGGACGGCTCTAGTGCCACCGTGTGCCCCTGCGTCCGCGCAGCGCGGGCGGTGTAGAGTTCGCCCGCCCGCCCGGTCACGGCGCGACCGTCTCCCCGCGGCGGGACGGACAAATGGCCCGGCCGCCGGCTGTCGACGGTCGCCGCTCTAATTATGCACGTCTGTCGCGCACGGCACCGCAACTGTGCCCGCGCGGCGAGGTGCGGCGCGCGGCGACCGGAGCCGGCGCGGCCGAGATATTGGCGCGCTTCATTAGCGGGCGCATTTATTACCGGGCGCCGGTGTCCATTTGTCATGGCTCTGTATTATGGCTGGCCACTCGCGCCGGCGAGCGCCGCTTTCACTCCGGTGACATCTATTACTCGGCGTTAACATACAAATTGAGGCAGCGCGGCGGCGGCGGCGCCGGTAGCAGTGGCGCTAGTGACTGTTCTCCGGCCATCCACATCATGAGGACCGCCCAAACGGGCCCAGTCGGCCGCACCGAAAACCGCGGACAAAGGAGAGACAGATCTGCCGGCGGCGAGAACAAACGGCGCCTTTGCATAAAATATGTTGGCCACGGTGTAGGCGAGATCTCACGATCTACTGGGCAAACCGCAGCGGTTCCGAGACCTTGGAGGCTGCCAGAGATAGCTTCTGCGAAGCAGTAGCCGCCGCCCGTATAAAAGTGAGAGGCAGTGCGGGACACAGTTTGAATAATACAAAAATGGCTGTAACGTGGAGACCACCATGATAGGGTCAGGACTTTTCATTTATACAAAATGCGGCTTGTGCTGGTTGAATGACGATAAGGTGACAAATAATTGTAAATTTGTGGTTCCTATGATCTTTTTTCACAGCTTGTAATTACTTTTGACACTCAAAAGTATGTTATGCTATGCTAAGGTCGTATTATGTACACACCTTTCTAATACATAATACAATTTTAAATATCATTGCCTGATGCATTTTGCAGCTTGTTTTGCTTTTTTAATCAAAACAGAGCACTGTATAGCGGTTGAGAAGGTGGGTACATTTTGTAACCACTATGTATTGGATTGCTTTGGATGCACCACCACTGTGC